AATCTCTTTGGATATTCAAAGGATATGTTCTTCAAAGTGTTCTCGATGTATATTCTTGGCCAAAAACACGAGATAGGGTAGTTTATAGAAGTTAGAGAGTGGATAGGGATGAAAAGCATTCAAAAAACTAGTCGTTTGGTAGTTGAAACTGTCGAACTATTTGACTAAGTCAAGACTTAGTCCACTAGTTTTGGTGAAACTGCAATCTGACTTATTCAACTAGTTCTGGATTTATTCAACTAAGTCAGAATAGAAGTTCAGAGATTTATTCGAATAGTTTTCAACTTATTCGAATAGTTTGCTGAAAAAAATGTATTTTAAAGGTAGGATGATAAGGGAATGAACCTTAGAGATGCCATACTCTTTAACACATAATCTAAGACCTAAAACACTACCCAACTAAGGAAACAACCTCTTCGGTCTCGTTCCTTCCACCGATGCTCAAGTCTCTTTTTCACGGACGGATATGAACTTGTTGTAGCTTTGATTCTTAGCCTTGATGCACAATATGATGATGATGTTTTGTCACCCTTTTGTCATTATCAAAACCTAAAAGACAATGCGCAAATTACATTGCAAATCTATATATTCATGATAGCACATTGTCCAACCGCCAACACGTTTGAATGGAACCAGGAGTGTGAAGAAGCTTTCCAGCAGCTTAAAGAGTACTTAGTTTCTGATATAGTTTTGTCTAAACCCAAACCCGTTGAAACTTTGTACTTATATTTGGGCATATCCCAAAACGCTGTAAGCTCTGTTTTGATAAGAAATGAAGATGGCCAGAGGCCTATTTACTATGTGAGCAAAGCACTTAATGGGGCAGAAAGCCGGTATACTGTCATTGAAAAAACAGCGTATGCACTTTTCATAACGGCCAAAAAATTGACCGCGTACTTCCAAGCTCACAATGTGGAAGTACTAACCAATCAGCCACTTGGGCCGGTCCTCTGAAATTCAACCTCCTCGGGACGATTGATCAAGTGGGCGATGATGCTCACTCAGTTCAAAATAGAGTATAAACCAAGGACCGCAATCAAGGGTCAAGCCTTGGCAGACTTCCTCGTCGAACTGACCGGTCTAGAGCCCGAAGCCGGACCTTCCCATACGGTCGAACCGTGGTGGGATATTGCCGTTGATGGGGCCTCTGGACCGAAGGGATGTGGAGCCGGCATAGTCTTCACTACTCCAGAAGGGTTCAAAATCTACCATGCCTTGGTTTTCAACTTCAAGCTTACCAACAATGAGGCGGAGTATGAGGCACTAGCCGGTAGCCTTAGACTAGCCCAGGCACTAAGAATAAAGAAAATGAGAATTCATTCCGACTCAAGTCTTGTAGTTGGACAGATCAATGGCGAGATGGAGGTCAAAGAGGAGCGTCTGGCCCGGTACAGTGACCTGGTCCGAGCACTTCTAAGGGAATTGGAAGAATTTCGTCTGACTAGGATACCCCGGTCGGAGAACACAGACGCTGATATGCTTTCGAAGTTAATGCAATCCTGCCCGGGCCATGTGTCGAAGTTGGCTAAAATTGAGATTTTAGATCAACCGAGTACTGATCGATTTGAGGTCGTAGCCGTTCAGCAAGGTCAGAGCTCAGCTACCGGGGTGATTGAAGCGGATGATGACTGGAGATACGATCTCATGGAGTATTTAATGACCGGACGAAAACCAAACGACGAAGAACGAGCCAAAAAGGTTGTCTTACGAGCTCCCCAGTTTCAGGTACTAGGTGGCCACTTGTACAAACGTGCCATAGGAGGACCTCTTTTGCGTTGTCTTACCAACTCGGAGGCCGAGCGAGTGATAGCCGAAGTACATGAGGGAGTTTGTGCAGCCCATCAAATGTCCCACACATTAGCTCAAAGAATAATATTGCTAGGCTACTACTGGCCGACCATTGTTAGGGATTGTGAGCGGTATGTGCAAAAATGTAGGACATGCCAAGCTTTTTACAAACATCCCGGCAGACCGGCCACTTATTACCAACCGACCTCTAATGTCATACCCTTCGCCCGGTTCGGGATTGACATTATTGGGGCTTTCCCGGTTGCCCAAGGTGGGAAGAAGTTCATAATGGTCGCCATAGATTACTTCACAAAATGGATTGAGGCTGAGGCGATGGCTACCATAACCGTGCGGCAATGTGAGAAATTTGTTTGGAAAAACATTGTTACCCGGTTTGGAGCCCCGAAGATGATTGTCACCGATAACGGCCCGCAATTTCGCAACCCCCAGTTCACTGCGTACTTGGCCAATTTCAGAATCATACACAGCAAGGCGTCAGTAGCATATCCACAAGGGAATGGCTAAGTAGAAAATGCTAACCGGACGATAGTGGACGGCCTAAAGAAGAGGTTGGGTGAAGAAGGCCATAAGTGGTTGGAAGTGCTACCACATACCATCTGGGCACACAGGGTGACTTCAAGAAGAGCAACCGGGGAGACTCCTTTTGTGCTTACCTATGGATGTGAAGCCTGGTTGCCAACTGAGGCAGAATTCCCAACGTTTAGAGAGACCGTATACCAGCCCTGTCAAAACGAGGTCGACCACCTAGCTGAATTAAATCTGGTGGAAGAACGAAGGACCCTAGCAGCTGTCAAGATGGCCAATTACCAGCGGTCGATAAAGAGATATCACGACAACCGGGTGGGCCCACGGTACTTCCAAGTGCATGATGAGGTCTTACGCAGACGGGATGCCAGTGAGCCTAATGAGAGAGGCAAGTTGGTGCGAAACTGGGAAGGACCCTATCGCATAAAGGCGATCATCCGGCCGGGCACTTATCAGATGGAATCCATGGAGGGCGGACGAGTTAACCGGCATTGGAACTCTCACCACTTGCGTAAATTTTTTAGATAAAGTGTAATTGGTTCCCGGTTATCAATAAAAACTTGTTCTTTTCAGAAATATTGTTCTTACATATCAACCGGTAATTGGTCGCACACCATTCTACCCTGTTAGATGTCCAATCAAATTGGGCATCTAAAAAAAATATCCGGCCAAACCGGTCATAGTCCTCATCCGTACTAACACGGAAGTCAAACGATTTGGCTAAACTAAAGGGAGAGCATCCCGGCCAGTTAAGCCAAACGTATTGAAGAAAAACGTAAGGCTTATCCTTTCGAAAAGGACAAGTCAATATGCCTTTGTGGGTTGCAAACCAACCGGGATGAGAATAATCAAACTTGTTCTCTTCTCGACCGACCATCCAACCTTTCGAAAAGACTTGGGTGAAATTGTATTTTAAACCGGGTAAATACGGCCGGGCTGTTATTTACTAATCTAAACGGTTAAAAATCTCAAGTTGAAGAGAAAATAGAAGAAAAACACTTGCATTAATATTTAAGCGTCTTACAAAAAGTGCCCGGAGGCAGATCATTACACACGGGAAGTAAAAAGAAAAAAAAGGCTGGGAAATCAGATGCCCGGGAAAGGCGCGACCGGTGCCTCATCATGTAGCTCGGGCAGAGAAAGACCCTTGGGCTGAAAACCTTGGATCCGCTGCTCAAGGATGCCATATAGAGCCCGCCGTTCATCGTCGATGATCCCGGCCGAGACTTCGTGCTTGTATAAACCTTGGAAGAAGCGGATGGCAGTCTCCCGGTCAGGAAGTGCTTGGGCAGCAAACTCCTCAGGCGCTTGAACAGCCCAGGCGGCAGCAAGAGGAGCCCTTTCCGAGCGCTCTTTCTCCAGTTCGTCTCCGAGCCAGGCAATTTCCTCAGTCGACCGGGCGTTCAGGGCCTCAAGCTGTTGGATCTTGGCCTGAGCTTGCTCATCGGCCTCTTTCGCGGCCTTGAAGAGACCGTCATGCTTCGCATACAGCTGACGGTAGACCGCACAGTGGTCCATCAGCTTCTCCTCTGCCTTTGCCGCCTTCTCAAAAGCGGCCTTAGCCTCCTTCCGGCATTCGACCATCATGGCCTCCATCCGGGCCTTTTCCTCGTCCCTTGACTTCACCAGCCGGGTGAAGTGCTCCTCACCAATCCGACCGACCTGCTTTAAAGACATGAAAAGTTTTTCAGGAGGGTATCAGAAGCAATAAGAGGGCGGTAAGAAGGGAGAAAGGGGGATTACCTCAGTCAGGTCGGCGCGGAAGGCTTGGAGGAGCTCTTCGTCCGATCTGGACATTAGAGCCAAAGACCGAGGCTGGCTTTGCCTTTTGCTGGCATTGAAGGACTAGGCTACTTGATGAGCCGGCTGGTCGACTACTTCAGTCTTCCGCCTCTTCCTTTTAAGAGACTCTTCAACAGCCTCCGCTTCGTCGTGGCCTCCCTCGACCAGCTCGTTTGGTTGACTAGCCTCCATCAGCTGGTCGAACTCCAGGATATCTACATTGATGTAGAGTTCCTCGGAGTGGATGGGCTGGCTGGTCCCCTGTTGAGACTGAGTCGGCTGCTCGTCCAAAGAGACTGGTTGGACCGAAGGTTGGCTGAGAAGCTGGGCAGTGGAGGGCTCCTCAACGACGATTTTTGGGGTGGCGAATTTGGACTGAAACTTCACCACTGCAAGAAAAGACACCGGTTAGAAGAACAGCGATATAAAAAAGAAAATGGAAGGAAAATAAGGGTAGTTGATTTACCTTTCTCTTTCTTCTTCTTCGCCAGGCGTGAAGGACCGGCGGTGGCTGTGGCCAGGGCTTTGGGTCCCCTCGCCCGATTGATGGGGATAGCTTCAGGGATCACCCCAGTCAGGACGATCTCCGGCTCAGGGTCAGTCTCCCGGCCGGGGTAGACGCTCTACTTCCCGACATGGTAAAGACCGCGGGTGGAGGCATCCCCGGCCCAGAGGGTGGTTTCCCAGGCAACCAGGTCATCGACCTCCGTTGGTTTGACCTAGCGCTTCATTCTTTTCCCCTAGAAATTTTGGGCAAAAGGAAAGGCAGCCGGAGGGAATTTGATACAAACGTATTTATCCTTCCACTTCTTGTTAGAAGGAGGAAGACCACAGAGAAATGTCCGGCCTTGGTGAGAAGACACCACCACGAATCCAAGGGTTTCCTTGGACCCGGGCCGGACATTGAACATATGGTCGAAGAGACGAAGGGAGAGAGGAATACGAAGGAACCGGCAGACATTGATGAAGCTGCCCAACAACCGGTGACCATTAGGGGCCAGCTGCCCGGGCATGATACCGTATGTCTCGAGGAAAAGGACTTTGAATGGGTGAGTAGAGAATTCGCCCAGGTCCTTGATAGAGTGGTAATGTATACCAATCGATGTACCGACGTGGAGAGAAATAATGCTCTTCCACGTTGCCCGGTAAGTTAATTGGTACCCGTCCGGCATCAGGTTGCACACCTCGTGGACTTGGGCCTTCTGCATGACCCACGATTGCGTTTGGAGCAACCGGTCGTCCAGCAGAATAAAGCCCTCATCCCCAGGTTGGGCAACCGAGACCACTTGCGCCGCGGAAGAAGGAGCGCAAGTGGAAGCATCAACCAGCTTCTTCTGTGGAGAGGTAGCCGGGTGCTCAGAGTCAGAGGATGAAAAAGAAGAGGAACCGGAAGTCTGAGACCGGTCACCAGAACCGTAAGAATGGACGGAAGGGTTCTGGCTGTCTTCGCGGTCAGACATGACTCAAAGAAGGGGAAAGAAAGAGACTTACTTGGAATAAGAGGACTCGGAGGACTCGTGAAAAAGCAGAAGCATCCGGGCAGTTTTTTCATCGAAGATTCGCAAGTGACGAAATCTTAGGGAGAACCTCGCTTTATATAGGAAAGATGCCGCCAGACGGACGAACGAAAGAATGACACGTGGCAGATGAAATGATTTCCCATCATAACCTCTCGGGGAGACGAAACGGCACAATAAATCGGCGGCTCCGTACCCGACTTCGAGAAGATTCTCCTGCTTTGGACATCTGGTTTTCGAAATTCAAAATTCAAATTTCAGATATTTTGGGTTGGCGCTGGTTTGTCGAGACGATTTTCCCGCCAAAAATCGACTGGGCAGTTCAAATTTCAGAAGATGATCGCGAATGCTTCCCGCCCCTGATGGTCCCCACAGGACCGGGAATCGGAGGACTCCTTGATGGGTAATAACCCATGGATATCGCCCGGTTGGTTCGCCCGTATGGGTGGTCATAAAAGTGACAGCGCGTGCCCTTGCCAACCCGGGTTGTTTGTCCGATTGGAAGGATTGGCCGGGACCAACAACTGGAGATCTATTCTTGAAGTGCTCCTAGAGGACCGGTCAGCCGAATGACCGGGGATAATCAGAGACGTGCTTGACGTGCTTAGGATTATTATAAATACTCCTAAAAGCCTCATTTGTTAGACATGCTTTAATTAATCCACACGGCCTATACTGATTGTAATAATTTCTACTCTCATTAATAACAAGCCAAGTTACAGGTGTTTCCACCTACAACCTTCCGATTACTTTACTTAGTATTTGCGTGGTAATTTACACCATCAAAGAGAATGGTGCATATAAAGAGCAACAACCACGTCGTCGCCATGCAACTCCAACAAAGAGGGGACTAGTCGGGCTGATGGAAACTGCATGGGGACAATCATCGTGGCCCTAGAGGCGATTCAAGTTCTGTTCGGTCTAGGTGTAACCCCGAAGCAGCTCTAAGTGATCGTGACCGCACTCTCTGGAGCGATGGCGATTAGGCAGAGGGGAAGGGTACTCCATATATATAAAGTAGTATATTCTGACCCGTGCCATGCACGAGGTCGAACAAAATTTATGTCAATTATGAATTATTTCAATGAAATTTTGTTAAGGATATTTATGTTAATTATGTTAATAATATATCAAAGGGATCCGCATGATTTGGAGACTGGTGGAGCTGCATATGTCATGGAGAAGTTATAGGAGTTTACCTTGTAAATATATGCACTGCTTTGGTTTACCTTAGATAGAGTTTTGCCTTGTATAGGTTACTGCCATATATATGGCACCTTTGTAATCGCATAACATATACAGGAAAATACACAAAACAATTCCTTTCATATTATTTCAATCTTAACATGGTATCAAAGCTTATTTGATCCAAAATTGTTCGCTGCTTCGTCGATTGGTTTTTCCTTAGGAATCGCGGGCCAATCATGACTTCCGACGAGCAGTCCAAGACACCCAAAAACAAAGCTGCCGACGAAGTTCCGTAGCGACGTACGATCTCTCCGTATGATCTCCATGTGAATGACAATCCCAGATTAATTATCACGCAAGTTGTCTTGAAAGGTGAAAATTATGAAGAGTGGGCGCGTGTTATTCGCACCGCTCTCCGGGCTCGCAAAAAGTTTGGGTTCGTTGACGGTTCCATTCCGCAACCATCGGAGGACTCTGTTGACCTTGAAGATTGGTGGACGAACAATTCTTTGATCGTTTCGTGGATACGAAACACGATCGAATCGTCTCTTCGAACTACTATCTCGCACACGGAAATGGCTGGAGAATTGTGAGAAGATACCAAGGCACAATTCTCGGTGGTGAATGGACCTCGCATTCAACAAATCAACTTTTCAACCAATTCATTATATCACACATTTAAATCACATTTATTTGAGAATTAAATTATGCATAATTAAAAGATATAAATGCAGATTAATAACGTCAAGCAATAATGTCAATATAGAAACCTTTCAAATGTCCCATATTAAAATTGATAGTAAATATTCAACGTTTAACATTGTGCATCTGGCACACCCACTCCGCTGACCGTCACAGACCCCAGGTTGGCCATCCTGACCCTGCTTCGTACCTATGTGCATTCAGTGAAACAACGACTACATGGTCAGTAAAACTAAGTGACAAATATCTAACGCTAGATACAATTCGTAGAATCAAACAATGTTTATATAAATTCATACAAATCATGCAATATATAAATCATTAACATTTTTAGATTACTATAACAACTTGATCAAATCTAATACAGAATCAAAGGACAATC